TTTCATCTGGGCAGAATGTGAGGTGGTTTTGAGGTCTAAAATGATATTACAGAAGGATGGGTTAATGACTGTATACCACCCTGGGAAAACTAAATGCTCAATTAGGAGCAGTGATTACCTTATAATTCTCTTTTATCTCTAGTAAAATGCCAGAAGCAAGCAGGATTTAATTTTATTATCATTATCAGGTAGTATAATCTCTCTATCAACCAAAGCTGGTCTGATTATTCATTGTGAATGTAAACTTTGTATCCATTTCTGAATGTACTTGTTTTTCATAAGTGCGGATGAACAGTTTTCAGTCTCTAGATAGTTGATGTTTGCTACTTATTTTTCATGTGATTTTTCTCTACAACCTGCAGGTTGACTTGGTACTAATGAATCAGTCCATGCTATGCATTGGAGTACCTCCAGCCTGTTTGTTCACAGATATATTAACAAACCTGGCCAAGACTTTCAGCTGGTATAAATCAATCTAACTCCTTTGAAACTATGCTGATTAACACTAGCTGAGGATCTGGCCCTTTGTACTTTATTTAATTATTTAATAATGTCTTTGTCACTGATATACCTCCTTTTCATTTGCATTCTTGCAAAACTTTGGTTGTGTTTTGAAAAGTAAGGTTGGGCAGCTGGTAGGCTGAACCAACTTAAAAAAGCCCTGGATGCCACCAAATAACAGAATGCCCTCCAAATTGTATAAAATTTGTACTGCTCATTCAAACAATATCATTAAGAGTTTGACCTAAGTAAAGTTTTCCTTGGCCTTTAAATTAACTTTTTTCATAATGATAATCTCACTCATTTCTTAACGTACTGCTGGTAGCCATTATCATCTGATTGGGATGCAGATGAGTTGGTTTTCTCACCCTGCCTACATCAGCACTAGAGTTTTTTTAGAATAGCTAGCAGTCGGGTCAATGGGACTAATTTCAAATACACAGTTCCTCAAATATGGTCTCATGAACAAAGCAGTTGCACACTAAAATGCATTAGAGAGAGAATCAAGGGGTGGGTTTACATTACCAAAAATAAGACCTGTAATTCATCACCGATTAATTATGGATTTGGGCTTGCACTATGGAGCTAAATATAGCAGCAAGTGGGTGGGTCTCAGAGCCCATACTCCAGCCCAAACAGGAATGTCTACACTGCTATTTCTAGCTCCATAGTGCAAGCTCTAGAACCCTAGTCAGTAGCCCTGGATTCTGAGACTCGTTAGGGGCGGGGAGGGTTGTTTTTTGCAATGTAGATGAACCCTAAGTGATTTGCCCAAAGTCATATAGGAAATCTATGGCAAAGCTGGGAACTGAACTCTGATCAGAGTCCAGTCCTAACACTTAAACACAAGGTCATCTCTCCTAACTCAGTAGTTGAGATTAGCTAATCGTATCTACACTCTTACTAACGGTACCTAGATTTTAATGTCTGGGTGATTGGGAAGAGTATTTTTAAAAGGAGAACCCCTGATACAGGGACTCACTTCTCGGATTCTTTCAAAAGAGCCAAAGCTGCTTGATGTTTGGCACATGGTATTCCACCTGTCACATTTGTTGCGTGGAAAGAGATGTCATGGAGTAGCATATCTGTTTCTTTACAGATAGGGTTTGACTTTGTGACTTATCATTGACGTTGAAGAGCTGATTCTATATTCATGTAACCTTGCGTCAAAAGGGTTGGTTGTATTTTAAAAATCTAATACTAAATATTGGTGACACAGGGTGGAGAGAAGACAGTAACACTGGCTCTAGTACCAAGACTGTAATGAGGATTCTTTATATTGGTGACAATAAATAGCTCTCCTACATTCTTTGAAATGACCATAGATCTGATTTAAAAAGAAAAATCTCATTTCTAGTTGTCTGGTTAGCAAATGCAGGATGAGAATCACCTGTGCAACAAAAATTAACAGCTTTGTGTGTGCCTTTACTGAGACATCTGCAGCACCAGCCACTTACCAGATTTTTGTGCAGAAGGAATTTACCCATGAAAAAGAGGGTTCCATGGAACAATGTAGAAATATCCTACTATCAGATAGTCTATACAGGAAAGGTGAGTTGACACTATCCATTCAATGGTAGCACCTATTCTTTGGCATATTTTTCAAAGAAGATAATCTCTAGCGATTAGAGAGCTAAAGCAATGGAATTAACAACCATCATCATTTCGTAGCACTTACACATCAGTTTTCAGCTGGTGATCCCAAAGTGTTTCATTAAGATAGGTGAGCTTCATTATTGTCATCCTCCTTTTACAAATGGGGCAACTGAGGGACAAAGACATCAAGAATTTACCCACCATTGCACAGTTTGTCAGTAGCAAGGTGAGGAATAATACACAAATTTCCTTAGTCTATCTGGTGCCCTATCCAATAAATGAATCTGTCTCCCTAGATGTGTATCACGATGCAACCATGCATAGATTGAAAGATCACTGGGAAGAATAATCTTATCAACAAAGAGCATCCCAAGTCTTAATGTCCACTGGGTCTGTTAATATTTAACATATTGCATTGCTTTGTTAGATTAATAGGTTTTCAAGGCCAGAAGTAGTCTAGTCTGACTACCTCATAACACAGATTAGAGAATTTCACTCAGTAATGACAGCATCAAGCCCATAACTTTTGGTTAAGACAGAACATAAGTTTTAGGAAAACAGAAGTTCTCCTCCTGTTTTTTCTCCCACTCATTTCTCTCTCTCGAGTGGGTGAGAGGAGCCAATGGCTATTGGTATGGAATTGAAATCTGACAAAACTTGTCCTAATTTAGGTCACCTTTCTCCAGGTATTCTCATGGTATATGTAGATACCTGAGAAGGTTTAAATAATTTAGTGCACTCTTGGCCAATCTTTATCTCTATTCAAAAAGTTCCTGTCTAACTGGCTGTTAAGTAACCCAGAAACATGGTAAATATGTAAAACTTTAAAACTCAGGAGTTAAAGCAGGAGCAGCTAGTTTATCATTTGCATAAAACTAGGCATGTTTGTAACAGTTCAGATAATCTTGTTGCTTCTTAAATTGACATTGAAGTGCCAAAAAACAAACAAAGAAAAAAACCCTTAACCTCCCTGATTAGACTGAATTTAATTTTCCCAATTTAGACATTAAATAGAAGCTGTAATTAGCATCTGACAATCTTTTGGAACTTTATTTTTAGGATGTGCAAGTACTTTATCCGTGTTAAACCATTCTTCAAATATTTAGTAATACTTCAAACATTGCTGACTTATCTATATATAAATAGTGTGGTTGCAGCCATGGATTCCTAAAATGGCCTCCTGGTTTGTTGTATTTTACTTCCAGAGGTTCAACTCGTGGAATATTAATGTTTTAAACAAGCTTGCTCCCAAGCCTGGCTCTTTTAAATAACTTATGTGGATTATTTAGATATGTGACTGTTCTATGGCTGCATTACATTGCATTGCATTTTAAATTGTCTAAGGACTCTGCTGTCTCTGAAGCCAGGCAGCCATTTTGTGCTCAGGTAAGTATAGATTCTCAGAAGGGAGAGAGACAAAGTGTTTTCTCATGGGGACTGTATGTTCCTTTCTGTTCTGTTCTTTTGTTTTCAAATGAAAATAAGTTATTTGAACTGTAAGCATCAATTTTAACTCTGCAACTGGCCCTTTGCAGCAGGGTTGTTGTTTAGCGCTGTGACACTCCAAAACTTTTTTATATACTGGATAGGTATACCATAACTCAAAGGCAGGTGCTGAAGACTTTTTTAACCATAAGGCCCTATAAACTCAAATAGCTGGTGGGTATCCAGTGAGTATTTAGCACATAGCTAAATGAAAGGATATTTGTAGGCTGAGAGAACTGGAATTATTTAGTCTGCAGAAGAGAAGAATGAACGGGGGATTTGATAGCTGCTTTCAACTACCTGAAAGGAGGTTCCAAAGAGGATGGATCTAGACGGTTCTCAGTGGGACCAGATGACAGAACAAGGAGTAATGGTCTCAAGTTGCAGTGCAGGAGGTTTAGGTTGGATATTAGGGAAAACTTTTTCACTAGGAGGGTGGTGAAGTACTTGAATGGGTTACCTAGGGAGGTAGTGGAATCTGCTTCCTTAGAGGTTTTTAAGGTCAGGCTTGACAAAGCCCTGGCTGGGATGATTTAGTTGGGGATTGGTCCTGCTTTGAGCAAGAGGTTGGACTAGATGACCTCCTGAGGACCCTTCCAACCCTGATATTCTATGATTCTATGATTTTTGGAAAAGGAAAGGGTGCAGATACTGTAGGCACAATGACTTAAGCAGTTACAACAAAAGATAAACATAAAGAACTCATTCTTAGGAAAGGTGTACATAGAATGAGCCAGCAGGCTCCATTACAACTCTTTGTGTATGAAAAAAAATATAATTTATGTATTTTGTTTTCATTGTTATTTAAAGCTAAACACAGTCAATGGCCATGGTGTCTACCAAGTAACATGCTATGGTTGTGTTTGATTTTTTTTTTTAAAGGAAGTAAATTTATGTACAACTTGGACCTAGCTTTTTGCTAAATAGCTAATGCAGCTAAGTTTAGGAATTCAAAAGTATGTGCTTCTCCAAAGACGGTTGTATTATGGTGATAACATTACTTTCAGTCTCCAACAAAAGAAACAAAGAAAAGCACTGTATGTTGCAGTCTGATAACTTAGCCTCCCCTTCTCTGCATGTGTCATTTAGTATGAAACTGCTCTCGGAGATGTACAGTGTTAATTAGAATAGGAAACAATATGGTGATTGAGTGAGAAAATCAACTGAAAATAATTAAGTACTGTTTTTAAGTGATTCTTTTTAACACTAACCCATACATAAAATTCTTCCCACATTTTATCACTTTAGGACATACCATGAGCATAGCTCAGGAAAAGTTGAAATGAATATTAAGTTAGGGTGGCCTACAGGGATCTACCCAACACTGAGTAGAATACCTTTTCAAGATAAACAGAACAGTGTTTTTGTCTCTGTACTATACACAAATTAGCATTTTGATGGGCTTTTGATGTTCCTAGATATCCGTGGAATACAAGAATTTTTGGACAAAGTATCTCAGCAGGGAATGGATGTAGCACTGCAGAAGGTAGAGAATAACATCAATAAAATGATCACAGGGCTCTTTGCCACCATGCGAATAGAAGAACTGAACCGCTACCGGGACACTCTGAGACGGGCCATTCTTGTAATGAACGCATCAACAGCCAAGTCCTTCATTACAGAGGTAAGTGATCAGCAGTGTTAATTTTCTCCTACCCTCTATGCCCCCAACTTTGTTTACTGAAATTTAAAAATACTTTATCAATGAATAATTTTACCTGACATCTTATAAAATACAGTAAATAGATTTACTTTATGTGACTTCTTGTAAAAATAAATACTTGAGTATGTATGCTTGATTCCCTCTCAAAAAACAAAAAAACAAACAACAACATAAAACACTTGCTAATGATGGTTTTATGGTTCATATGAGTGCATCCAAAGGAAAGTATACCTGTGCCCCTTATGAGCAATATATTACAAAAAATACAAGCGAATTATCTTTAGAACCTTATTAACATTCATGTCTGTTGTACTGCTAATTCCCTGCTCATCTCATTTATTCCTTAGCATCCACTGTACTGCTGAAAGTAGTTATATTTTTATTTAATTACATATATTTTGGATATGGGTGTGTTTATCTGATTGACGCATTGAAACTTGCTGGGTTTTTATAAAATTAAGCTTAATAATGACCTAGTAGAACTTATAAGACAGGTCGGAAATTGGGATCATAGGTTTAAGTTAAAAGGATAATATACTCATGAAGAATTTAAACTGCTAAAATACAGTAGTATTGATATATTTAAGAAAAAGTTGGATTACTGCATCAAATTTAACTAATTAAAGGAGTTTTGTGTTGGAAGTAGCTGACTGCCATATTGGTGGGATAGGTGTTTTGTTGGTTGGGGTGCAGCAGGTTTGTTTTGTCTTTTAATGATCTTCCCTTTTCTTCAGAAGATAGGGTTTGTGGGGTTTTTTTATTTTTTGTGGTGTGGGGCATGGGAAAGTGAGAGAAAAATTGTTTTTAATTTTGAACACAAATTATGGATATGTTAGAGATGGTATAATTGTCATGGTATACATAATGATATAATGGTAACATAATGGTATAATAGTTCCAGACGTTCAGAATGTATGGCGTACTATTGGTGTTACACAACTTTGCAGTTGTTGGCATTTGAGAAACTGGAGACTTCTTAATGGCAACCAATATGAGTGAGATTTTCAGGAGTCTAAGTGACTTAAGAGGACAAGTCCTATTAGCTTACAATGGAAATTGTGCTCCTAAGTCTCCTAGATACTTTTGAAAATCCCACCCTATTTGTATATATATTTTATTAATGGCATGAGTGGACAGCTCCATGCTCCAGAAGTGCATGACATAGATATATTCTTTCCCTCACCATCAACATATGGCTCAAAATAAACATCTATCACACAAAAATATACTCTTTTTTTTACATTTAACAATAATCTCTTTCATGCTGGATCTGTTTGTAGGCAGCATTGTTTACTCAGAGGGTTGGGAAAAGGGAAACAGGAAGGAATGGAATAAGCTATGCCAGCAAAAGGCCTGGTCTATGCTAGACAATTAATTTGGTTTAACTATGCCCACACCCCTGAGCATCATAGTTAAGCTGACCTAAGTCCCCATGTAGACTGCACTAAATGTAAGAATTCTTCTGTTGACGTGGCTACCGGCTCCTGTGGAGGGGGTTACCTATGTCAATGAGAGAACTCCTCCCATTGGCATAGGTAGTGTCTACAACGAAGTGCTACAGCAATGCAGTTGCAAACCTTAAGGGAACATGCATCCGAAGAAGTGAGGTTTTAACTCACGAAAGCTTATGCCCAAATAAATCTGTTAGTCTTTAAGGTGCCACCAGACTCCTTGTTGTTTTTGTAGATACAGACTAACACGGCTACCCCCTGATACTTGAAACCTTAAGGGCTTGTCTACACAGAGAGTTGTTCATGAGTAACTTCATTCGTGAACACTTCCCAAGTGCATTATGGTAAAGTGAATTAAGGTCACTTGAATTATGAATCAGTGTGTCCATTCAAGGGTTTAATGCAGTTCAACTAATCATGTTAATTGACACCTTTAGTTAATTTGGATTAATTTTTCTAAGTGTCCCCCTGTAGACAAACCCACTTTTATTCCAAAGTAAGAATGCCTTGTTCCTTTTCAGCTTGGGTTAACCACTTGGGTTAAGCTAAACAGGAAGAAAACACTCTTATTCCACATTAAGACATTAAGATTACATGTGGAGTTAATCAAGAACAACTCCATGTGTAGACAAGCCCTAAGCCTTTATGGCTTGCCTGCCCATGACGTGCAGCTGTTGGTTCATCTGGGCTTCTTAACTTAACTTAAGTATTTAATGTTCTCATGGTTCAGCTGAGGACATGCCACAACTGTAATAAGCATGACTTTGATTGCAGTGCAAATATCACCTTTTCCAGAATAAATAGTCACACATGATCCTGTGTAAATTGACAGTCTGCAAATTAGAGATTCCTTGAGGTAGAGTTTATCTTTGCTTTAACCTTTAGATATTTTTGTTTCTTGAAAACAGCAATGCTTTTAGTTATGTCTTTGCTGATCCATGCTTTCTGTCTAGCCTTTGTATCCATGGAGCTTGCAATGATGAGGTCACTACTTAGAGAATGTTCAGAAAGAAGAAGGGGTTTAAGGTTTAAATGCCTTTCTCCCATCTTGTAAATAGCGTTTAGCCCTCCCGGGTGTTACGCCCCGATGTATTTATAGAGAGCTATCATAACCGTTCTCAACCTTTATTTTGCTTGGCTAAACAAGCCAAACTCTGTAAGCCTCCTTTCATATTATAGGCCAGGGATAGGCAACCTATGCCACTCAGGCCAAAGGTGGCACGTGAGCTGATTTTCAGTGGCACTCACATTGCCTGGGTCCTGGCCACCGGTCTGGGGGGGCTCTGCATTTTAATTTAATTTTAAATGAAGCTTTTTAAACATTTTAAAAACCA